TCTTATCGTTGCACTTCAGGCCAGGTCTGCATGCCGATATGCGAAACCCGCTGATATTGTTGTTCCTGACAGATTTCTCCCACTCTTTCTCTGTAGGTGAAGTGTTTTCTGTGTAGGAGGGGAAACGTCTAAGTACCAGCTGTTGCAATGCTTTCTGATGCAAGTGGAAATTATTTTGCAAAGGGGCAAACTTGACATTTGGTTACAGGTGCATCATGCAAACAATCCAAAAACAGCAGTATTCAGGACTTAAGCTTTGTTTTGGATCTGGGAAGCTTCTGTACTGTTAATAACTGCAGGCACCATTTTATTCAAGGTAGGGACGCGCTGAAGGACGGGATTGGAGTAATTACGCGCGTCATTAAGACTTCAGCTACAAAAACATGTTATAAATAGCAATGATAGGACATAACCTGTGCCTGACTCATGCAACTCTTGACAAAGACTGTATCTTTACACCGCTTTGTAGATCAATATTGCAACTTATCTAAGAGAGTGTCAGATGTCAGGCAGATGAAAGAAGAAATGCATAATATCCCTTGCTGTGCATGTTGGTTGTGATCACTGCTTTACAATGCTGTACCCATAATCATATTGTTTATGAAAACATACTCTTAAGTCCGCCTTAGCCCCAGTTTGGGCCTCTCGTGTACGACCAAGTCTGAGTCACAAAGCCATGTGTCGTTTTCTCTGAAAAGTAAATACCCAGCAATCTGTCGTAACCAAGTGTTATTATGTTACTTGCCTTTTTTAAATGAGCAAAGACGTGTCAAATCTGGCTACCTAAGTCACAACTTTAGAAATAAGTTAAAAATCTTCTTTATAATGCAACCAATGGAATATGTTTCTTACAAATGGATGTAAGAGTCTTTGAGGGCTGTGAAAAGATTATTAAAAGAGATCTTTATGCTTACCTCAACTTGAATGATGGTACAGCACAAGGAAACAAGCTCTCTGCTGTCACATTTATATAAGGTGCAGTGATGCATACAGAACGTACAGTTCAGATGGAGGCAGACACATACTGCTAATACACCTAGGAAAGCTCAACAGACAGAATAAACCTCATTCTCGCAGGCCCTCGGGTTAATATTCAAAACGCATCGCTGTTTCTAGTAATACTATATGACCAAAGAATGGTAAAAATGGAAGGCTCGCCTGTGAGGTGAAAGCGACATGCACCTGTTATTTCACACTTGATGGACACATGTGTTCTGTCAAGCAGACAGGTACAGAGAGGTCTGAAGAGACACTCACACTACCTGTTGGAGCAGTTTCTTGGCATTCAACTTGTCTCACACACTTTTCTCTGGATTTATAGTCCGTCTCAGGATATGGAAGATCGGCCTCAGCTGTTCAGTTTTAAAAGCCAAAGTATCACACTTATTGTGCACAACAGACAAAACAAAGAGTCACTTGTGTCTTGGTTTGAGCACCTAACAGCAAGACAAAGCTGAGTGGTTAAACTGGGAAGCACATTTACAGGCTGCAGACAAACTCCACTGTCCTGTCACCATGGCAAAGCAGACCAGCACTTAAGTGGCACAATATAAGACAACGACAGCAACCCTCTAAATCACCACTTTCAGTTACTGCCCTCAGGGAGGAAACAGAAGAACAGAGGACACTGTGAAATAAAGAAAGAAAAAACCAGCGCAAAACTTCTAATTCCAATTTATTTAAACGTGTTTATGTCTTTACCTTCAAGCACCTAATTCTTCTTTAAATGTGATTAGTTTGTGTTGGTCCAAATGTGATTTGATGTGTTTTATGTAACCTGTTTAACTGTGGGTTTGGCTCATGCAAAAAAAAGGAAAAATGTGTCTTTATGCAAAGCAGAAGACGCAGTGTTTTCTATACCATTCTTTTCTTCAACAGTAGTTGCTAAAGTTCAATGGGACATTTGACCCCTTCTGCCATTCATCCAAGTGATAAAGACTTCTTGGACATGCTGTGTTCAATATTCAATATGGAGCTTAATAGAGGTTCTTGCAAAGAGTCCAGACTCACTGGTGCCATTAAGGCTGAAACATAATGTAAAGGCTCCACATAACAACAAAATGCTTGAATATGAACTCAAGCAAAGATGCAACTATTCAATTAATATGAGTGTTTTTCTTTAAACACGAAAAAATGAATACTATAATGTGTTGTAGAAAAAATGATATTTGAGGACGTCATATAGGCTTTGGGAAACACTGAATACCACCACAATAATCTGACATTTTTAGACCAAACCACGATGACTAATGAACGATAAGACACACCAAATTGAAAGTATAGTACACCTTTCTTCAAGCTGTAAATGAACTATAACCAAACTTTGGATTCCCAATCCCAACTGGATGTGCTCCCAAACTTAACATCCCATCAGAGACCAAAGAACAGCCCACATTCCCTGGATATTAAGTGACCTACATTTAGGGCTAATTGCAAGTTCTGCACATTACATATGCACACACACGCCAACTGGCACTGAAAGCTCCAAAGCCCTGCTCGTTGGGAGTCAGGCCAGACCCCCTCCTATCACCATGGAGATGGCCCCTTCATTGTGGGGGGAGAATTAATGCACTTCTGGCACGTCTGCAGTGGCTCATTCATACTTCCCATGAGGAGAAACACAAACTTTATCGAGTTTAAAATGCAGAATTTGATCAATGTGTTGCGTAAAAGTCCCACTAAACAAACTGTCCCAGCGTTACTGAAGGAAAGTCGTATAAAATCTCCTTCACAAACTCCGTAACCTTGCAACAGGTGCAAACAACTTACCTGAAACAAAACTTTGCCCCGCTTCTTTAGTGTTCTCCTTCCAACAGTGAATCATGCTAAAACGAGGTAAATACGCGCAAATGTTTCATGGTTCCTCCACGTCGCGTGTGATCAGAATTATTCCCAGGATCGGCCCCGGCGCTGGGGAAACCAGGTAGCAGCTGGAGGTTTGGGAGTGGCTGTCAGCAGCTTTCGGATTAACCCTTTCCTATTACTCGGAAGCCACCCAGCTGACACTACCTGTTTGTAACCTGTTCTCCAATGACATCACTGACTGTACACAGCATTGTATTAAAGTGAAATGCACACACTACAAGACGTCCCTGAACAACAATTCAACACATTCAATGATTAAAAACGATACACACCCGGGGTAAAGTGATTCCACAGCGAGCAGGAACTGACCAAAACTGAGACCCTGCCTCAGCTGCTCTAACTGGGGGTATTCAGGGGACTCCTCTTCCTCGCCCATTATTGAAATGGCATGAAGGGGAAGGCCGGCCATTCATATGCAGATGAGCTGGCACAGATACTGTGAACTCCACCAACACGGCTATTACAAGTCTGTACCTTCACTGTGTCAAATTCAACAAGTGGTTCCGATGTCAAGTCTAAACTAATCAGTGCTCATTAGTGATTGGATATTAATAAAGTACTGTAGTTAAAGGAGATTAAACACATTAAAGTCTGTTAAAAAGTGTGTGAAAAGTGCTTTAACAGACTAGTCATTTTGTATTATCAACTGTTAACTAATTATGGGTTAATAACAGAGGTGGCGGGACAAGTACTCAGATCTTGTACTTTAGTAAAAGTAGAAGTACCAGAGTGTAGGAATACTCTGTTAAAAGTAGAAGTCATGCATTAAAAATGTTACCCAAGTAAATGTCGAAAAGTATCAGCATCAAAATATGTACCAAAAGTAAAAGTACTCATTATGAAGGTTGGTCCATTTCAGAATAATATATATGTTTTGATTATAATTATTGATGTATTCATGTGTTTATCAAAGCTGGTAAATGTGCATATAGTTTTAATGACTTTTTATACTGCATGGTATCTTGTGAATTTACTCCAGGTGGAACTAAAGTCTGATTTAAGTATATATATATATCAAAATCTGTCAAATAACTAAATGTACAAAATATATACACAATTTACCTCTGAATTGTAGTGGAGTAGAAGTACAAAGAAGCATATGGAAATACTCAAGTGAAGTACAAGTATCTCAAAATTGTACTTACATACAGTACTTGAATAAAGTGACTTCCCACCTCTGGTTTATAATAATACAGTTTTATTATAATCGTTGTTTTGCTACTAAGGAAGCTGTGCAAGAATGTGTGAAGCGCATTTGTTGGATTTGAAAACAACAACATCTAAATATTTCAAAAAATCTAATGGTGTTGGGTTTTAAAGATGGGAGGCCTCTGTGGTCCTCCCCACGTCTGCCTAGGTTACATTTGCCCCAATATTATCATATAACCTGAGCACACACAAACACATCCAACTATGGGATGCATTGTGGGTAATGTAGGCACCAGGATTGACCATGAAGATAAATGTGTGGACTATAACATCATGCCCTTATGAGGCCTTTTTTTGTCATACAACATCTTAAAAAGAAGCAGTTGCCACACGTCACAACAAGTAAATGGGATGTGAGAAAGTCAGTTTTATAAAAACAACAAAGATAAGTCAAAAAATCATGAAGGGGAAATACTATGTTGTGTGCAGTATGTTTACCCCATTTGTTATCCTATTACACAGGCCAAATGTATTTATATTACAATTAATTGGAACCTCTTGACACTGATCTCCATGTTCAAGGCTTTTATTTGTCATACATAGCTACAGTAGTTATGACGATGAAAATCTTAGGTATGATACTATATCAATTATACTGTGACTCCTAAAGTAAACTGGCTGCATCTGGGATGGGTAAGGTTTGTCTCATTAAATACTTCATTTAGATCAAGTTCTGTTTTCACTTTGACATAAAAGGACATTTTACAGATGAGCCCTATCAAAAAAAGTCAAGTCTTTTTTGATTTAATGTTGTAAAATAATAATAAAAAGCACTGTACTGTATAGAGACTGTAGCGTTTTACAAATGATGAAACTGCGCCCTCTTCTGGCTGTAACACCACAGTGTTACAGCCACACTTTGATTTAAACACTAATTCAAAGTTATAAATAAGAACAATAAAACGTGAAGAAAATGGAAAGCTCACCTGCTCAGTGGGAGCTTCATTTGGACAGGAGGTTGCTTCTTCAGTGAGATTAAAATGTTGCTCCTCAAACATGAATGTGTCATCTGAGTCAATGGGGCCAGGCAGCTCAGAAAAAGTGTCAAATTCTGGGATGTTTAGCTTGGGTATGGTGTCATACAGGGGCGACTTAGGGGGTGAAGGGAGGTCCATATCCTCATCTTGCAAAAAAGTCTGTTGCTGTATGACTTCACCCTCCAGCAGTGGCTCTTTGGGTACAGTTTTGACCTTTGGCACATGATGATGTTTTGCATACAGTTCCAGGATGTCAGTATTCAGGGGTGCAGGGGTAGAAGATAAGCCTTCTGTTGAATCCTGAGTCTTAATGCCATCCTCTCTGTGTGCAAAACTGCTGCTGATTGGTCCTTCCAGAGTCTCACAGGGCTTCACATCTTGTATTTTTGCACATAATCCAAACGTGGAGAAGCGGTATGTCTCTCTTGGAGCATCCAGATCACAAACACGAATCACTGTGGTCCCTTTACGTCGTCTTATATCGTCCATTTCCAGTGGCTTGGTCACAGGTGAATCCATCTTATCAGAAGAGTGTTCAGTAATTGTTGGGAGCTCCTTCACATACTGGGCAGGGACATAAAAGGGTCGGGTGTGCAGGTCTTTGCGTACGTGCCACCAGTGCTCATTAGTTCTGGAGACCAGGATGTAACTTTCGTTAGGCTTGATGGACACAAGGCGACCGTCCTTCGCTGTGTACTCGAAGTCGTGCTGCACTGACACCAGCTCCATGCTCTGGTGCTCCTACGCGTCACTCAGGATGGAGCGTGGACATCTTGGAGCTGTGAATAGAGGAAATGGGGAGTTCAGTGGCCTTTAAAGTGTAAGTCTTAGTTCATTGTCAATCACTTCCACCTAAATAAACACGTGACCTCTTTCACTTTTGATAATGAGGGCCTTTGAGAACAAAACGCACTACTGCCACACTTATAGCAGTAAGATCACCAGATTATAAATGACTGATGTCGGTCATCTGTTTGCATCTTGCAAATTATGTATCTATACATCATATTCAATTTACTTGTATATAAACTCTTCTTGCACTATTTCTATTTTATTTGTATTTATTTGCACATCTCAAAATATTCTCTTGCACTATTTTATCTGTTTAATTAGTTTGATGTCCTATATATATTCATGTTGCACTGTTGGAGGAGCCTGTAACTTGAGCTTTTATTGCCATATATACCTAGCTACTGTGCACATGACAATAAAGCCTTGAATCTTGAATCTTTTGTCTATTTGCATTCGTTTAGCATCTCGTTTTGGGGTCTGTTGTCATTTCAGGTCTCCGTGCGGTGGTTTGGTGACTCTTTTTACATTATTTTGTGTATTTGTTGGCATCTCATTGTAGTTGTTTTGCTTCTTTTTGTAGTCGTTTCATGACTCTTTGTTTTTATTTTTATTTTATTTTGTGGTCATTTTGTGTCTCTTTGTTGTCATTCACATCACTTTTGGGTAATTTGCATTTGTTGGTGATCATTTACCATCCTGTAGTTGTTTTGGTTGTCTCTTTAGACGTTTTAATCTCTTGTAGACTTTTTAAAAGAGAGAACTTTAGTTATCCCAAAGGTAAGGAAAAAGCAGGAAAGAGGGCATGTATAAAATATCAAGGCTTTTTGTGTTTGTTTTTGGTCATTTGCATTAGTTTATTGTTAGATTGTCTCTCTGTAATCATTTTTGCTTTTCTTTTATTGTCTTTTATTGACTGTTTGTAGTGTTTTTATTGACTTCAAAACCATAAATGTTCACAGTCACTCCAAACTGAGGCACTGACCTTTTAGGCCCCATTCAGTGTTTGACGTAATAACAATGCTGACTACATGAAAGGTCAACGCCGTTTGGAGGTAAGATTATGAACAAAATGCTCTATTGGTAGCAATAGAGGCTCTTTTAAAGCCTTTAATTATTCTGTGCACAGGAATAGACAGGAAGTTGTTTCCAATAGCTGCAAAACAACTAAAACATACTCAGCAGCAGACTGAAAACTGCTTAACCACAAAACAGGAAGCCTGCACCGAGCTCGGCGAGGTGTCAGTGCGGCATCATGTGGCAATCTCAGTGTTTCTTATCAAATCCTACAGCAAACTGAATACAAAGAAACAGCAGGAGGTCATCAGCAGCTGCTGCAGAGAAATACAACTGTGTCTGTGTTGTTGCCAAATAATCACATTGTTATGTGGAGCAAATGAGAGTTAACGTATTCAAAACATAAAAGATCAAATGCTCATTGCAGTATAAAATACAATTATATATACTTAAAAATGACTTTAAAAAGATCTATGGATCATGCAAGTTAGATTTAACTTATAATATCATGTTGGATTTTGAGTATCATTCAACAAAAAAAGGGTAAGTCAGTGCAACTCAAATTATTTGACTACACTTTCAAGGCTCAGCAACAACATACATCACATTCTACACTCATACCCACACGCTTCAGCTGAGGACAATAATACATGTTCTACTTGCCTGATTTTGTTTCCAAAAATGTCCCGCAAACAATCTTCAGAACAGTTTTGTATCTGAAGAGCTGGAGCTCAAACTGCTTCTCGTCTCTGCTAGCCAACTCTTATTTCCTGTTCTGTGTCAGGGTCTGTTTCTCTACTGAAAGAGGCAGTGATATATGACAGCACCGAAGCCACAAGAAATGGGAAGTCTGACTTTAGCTTAACTTCCCAACATATCTGTTATATTTATGCATTCTCTTTATGGCACCTCACTGACAGGGAGTAGACTGGAAAGAGTGGCAAGGCGGTGATTCATTATGACACTGTAACAGGGCAATACTAAAAATGAAACTTGGTAAATTAAAAAAGACAAGTTAGTCTCTAGACACATGTTGAAATGTAAGCAATTATATATAGTTGTTATTGCAAATTTCAGCAGATGATAGGCAAACAAGAAAACAAGTTCAATGGAAAGATCACTTTATGACTTCTAAACATCAATTTGTATTATTTATATGTGCATTTATTACTGCTGCTATAGTTGAGCACTACTGCATATGTGGACCATGTATGCCCTCTGTTGGATTTTCAGGACAAATACACTTAACCGCTCATTTAGAAAAAGAGCAACTTGATTTTCCCCGATGAAGTCACTATTCGGTTTTTAAGGAGGTTTCATAGACTTGTTTTGTTCTGCTGGTGTGGCTGATGAGGGGAAATACTAACAGTGTTAAGTATTGAAGGTCCCATGTCATGGCCATTTCTACTGATCATAATTCCATTGTTGAGGTCTACTAAAATAGATTTATATTGTGCAATTTTCACATTGGTTTCTCATGCAGCATCTCTGTATAGTATGTGTATTCACTCTCTGTCCTAAACGGCTTGTTGGAGCTCCTGCCCCCCCCTCCCTGTGAGCCCAGTGGCCGTCTGCGAGACAGCGAGACACAGCGAAACCCAGCCCGAACACACACACACACCCGCAGCCTGGCTGGGAGTTGGTGTGTGTGCTCACACACCAACTCACAACCTCGCCGCGTCCCGCTGTCTCATATGGGCTCAGAACAGTCTCATAATACACACATGCACACATAAGGATTCATACTTGTATTTCATGATCCGCAAAAGGATTCACACTTGTATTTCCGGATCCACACTTGTGTTTGTCAATGCACACACAAATGTGTTCCGTTTCATATACATGTAAATAAAATCCAAATACAGAAAAAAGTTTTACATATGTATTTTTGATCCTCACATATTTGTTTTCCGTTTAAATCCCCTGCACCTACAAACACAAACCGCTTTCTGTCCATGGATCGCTGTGCATTCGTGTGTGGGTTTTTTGAGACTCCCCTGACGGTCACCCGATTCGTACTTGTAATCTTTTCTATCTATAGCCAATCAGATGTCTCCTTCATTCTAAGCCAATCAAATGAGCGCGCCCCCACGAGGGTAGATTTCTTGCGTTCATGACGTAGCACTTCATGTACGCAAATAGAGTGGCGAAGTCACGCCCATCTACTTCCGCCCCATGGGACCTTATTTCGGAAAAATAATGTATTGAAGTCAATGGAGAGAGAAAACTTATCTTTCGATCCCGTTTGAATTGTGCCATGAATTACACATATGATGTTTGTCAATCTTAAAAAATCATTTCCATGTCAAAAAAGTAACAGTTTGTTGTAAAATTGTTGAAATATAAGATTATGAAAAATACGCAACTAGAAAGACTACAAATCCCAGAGTCGCGTAAGTGATGTCACAATTGTTTTCCTCCACTAAGAGATAGCTAAGATCAGCGCAATATAGATATAATCTATCTATATGGCGCTGGCTAAGATAAGATAACTTTAACAAGATGCCTGTGTGCTTAGTACCAGGTTGTTATTATACCAGCAATGGGTCTTGCTCGTTCTTTCGCTTCCCGTCTGATGAAAGTGTTACGATATCCGATAGGACCCAAACGCAGGACACGGCAGAGTGTTGGAAAAAGGTTTATTGTGAGGTGGAGGAGCGTGGAGAGTAATCCTGTAGGAATGAAGACTGGTGAGTGTGGAGAGTAATCCGGTTGGAATGATGACTGGTGGCGGCAGGTGATGGTAACAAGGCGGCTGGATAGTGATCCTGGAGCATAAGAGAAACAGATGAGAAAAGTATTCCGTGTACAGAGAAATAGTTTTAAATCGGCTAAGAAGGCTGAGAGTTACCACTGGGGATTAAACAACGATCTGGCGCTGACATGTTGTGGAGCCTCCGCTGATATACCATTAGTAAATGGCTGAATGGGAATCAGGTGTGTAAAGCTGATTGCACCAGGTGGAGATTTGCAGCAGGTGGAGATTGAGCCGGGAGCCAGGAGTGACAGCCACCACGCCCACACAGACAGGGAAAGGGAACACACACTCACAAGGGAGGTGGCTGAAGAGTAGAGCCACCACAGTACCCCCCTCTTAAGGGACGCCTCCAGGCGGTCTACCAGGTCTACCAGGTCTACCAGGTCTACCAGGTCTACCAGGGTTATCCCGGTGGAAGTCCCGAACCAGGGACGCACCCACGATGTTTCGCCGGGGAACCCAAGACCTCTCCTCTGGACCATAGCCCTCCCAATCCACAAAATATTGGAATCCCCTTCCACGGCGACGAACGTCCAACAATCGCCTGACGGTGTAGGTTGGGTGATCATTGATGATGCGGGGGGGTGGGGGAACACTCACTGGAGGAGACAAGGGGCTGCTGGCAACAGGTTTTAACAGAGAAACATGAAATGTTGGATGAACCTTCATGTGTGGGGGAAGCTTGAGTTTTACTGCAGATGGGTTGATAACTGAGTCGATGATGAAGGGGCCGACATAACGTGGCGTGAGTTTCTTCGACTCTGTCTTGAGTGGGAGATCTTTGGAGGAAAGCCAAACACTCTGACCTGGTAAGTAGTTGGGAGCCGGGGTCCTGTGGCGGTCTGCGATGAGGCAGTTGCGGGCAGCGGAGCGGAGCAGGGCGGCTCGGGTATCCCTCCACACCTTATGACAGCGACGAAGGTGGGTCTGAACGGAAGGAACAGCAACCTCCTCTTCCTGGGATGGAAACAGGGGTGGTTGGAAACCCATGGCACAATGAAAGGGTGAAATACCTGTGGCTGCATTTGGCAGGGAGTTGTGGGCATATTCGATCCATGGAAGATGTGGGCACCATGACGAAGGGTTCCTGAAAGCCACACAGCGAAGAGCCGCCCCCAGATCCTGGTTGGCCCGTTCCGTTTGCCCGTTCGTCTGAGGATGATATCCAGATGACAGGCTCACTGATGCTCCCAGAGCCTGACAGAAGGCTTTCCAAACGTGGGAAATGAACTGGGGACCCCGGTCAGAGACGATGTCGGTGGGAATCCCATGGAGTCGAACAACATGATTGACCAGAAGATCTGCAGTCTCTCGGGCTGTGGGAAGCTTGGGAAGAGCAACAAAGTGTACCATCTTGGAAAATCTGTCCACAATAGTTAGGATGATGGTATTTCCTTGTGACAGTGGAAGTCCAGTGACAAAATCCAAGGCCACATGCGACCAAGGACGCCTAGGTACCGGCAGCGGCCGAAGCAGGCCAGAGGGAGATTGGTGGGAGGACTTGGCGCGGGCACATACTGTACAGGCAGCAACAAAGGCCCTGGTGTCTTGAGCCATGGAAGGCCACCAGAACCGTTGTTTTAGAATAAACAGTGTGCGATGGACACCAGGATGACAGGAGAGACGGGAGGCGTGTGCCCACTGCAGGACCTTGGAGCGAACAGGGGTAGGCACAAAAAGACTATTAGCTGGGCAGTTACCTGGGTTAGGTTGCGCCCGCTGAGCCTCCTTAACCAATGACTCAATCTCCCAGGTAACAGCCGCCACCACGCAGGAGGCAGGCAGGATAGTGTCTGGATTGGCAGCTGGTCCTTCGGAAGCGAACTGGCGAGAGAGAGCGTCCGGCTTGAGGTTCCGTGACCCTGGACGGTAGGTAAGGGTGAATGAGAAGCGGCCGAAATACAGGGCCCATCGAGCCTGACGAGAGTTAAGGCGCTTGGCAGATTGGATGTACGCCAAGTTTTTGTGGTCTGTCCATACAATAAAAGGGAGCTCGGCTCCCTCCAGCCAGTGCCTCCACTCCTCTAGGGCAAGTTTGACAGCCAGCAGCTCTCTGTTACCCACGTCATAGTTCTTCTCAGCTGGAGTGAGGCGGCGAGAGAAAAATGCACATGGATGTAATTTTTGGTCTCGTTCCGAGCGCTGGGAAAGAACTGCCCCTACCCCGGTGTTGGAGGCATCGACCTCCACCACAAACTGGCGAGAGGAATCAGGGTGGATGAGCACAGGGGCAGTGGTGAAAAGTCTCTTTAGCTCCGAGAAGGCTGCATCGCACTCTGGAGTCCAGAAAAAACCAGTTGTAGGGGAAGTGAGTCTGGTTAAAGGGCCCGCCACTCTGCTGTAGTCTCTGATGAAGCGCCGATAAAAATTGGCGAAACCAAGAAACTGTTGAAGCAGTTTAACTGAGGTTGGTTTGGGCCACCCCGCCACCGCTTGGATCTTCTCAGGGTCGGTCCTAATCTTTCCTTCCTCAACGATGTAGCCCAGGAATGAGACTGTGTTGACATGGAATTCGCATTTCTCCGCCTTCACAAAGAGTCTGTTTTCAAGGAGTCTCTGCAGCACCTGCCTGACATGGATAATGTGCTCCTCCTTGTTACGGGAGAAAATGAGAATGTCATCCAAGTAGACAAAGACTGACCGGTTGAGGAGGTCACGGAGTACATCGTTCACCATTGACTGAAAAACTGCTGGGGCATTCGTCAGTCCAAAAGGCATCACCAGATACTCAAAGTGACCGAGTGGTGTGTTAAAGGCAGTCTTCCACTCGTCCCCTTCACGGATTCTGACGAGGTGGTAGGCATTGCGGAGGTCCAGTTTGGAAAAGATGGTGGCTTCCTGGAGGGGTTCAAAGGCGGAGTTAATGAGGGGTAATGGATATTTGTTTTTTATAGTGATGGCATTGAGACCCCTGTAATCAATGCAGGGCCGCAGTGAGCGGTCCTTCTTGGACACGAAGAAGAACCCAGCACCGACCGGGGAGGAGGATGGGCGGATGACACCAGCAGCCAGGGAGTCATGGATGTA